AGTCTGCCTCCTTCATTGTTGGGAAGCGTATGGCTTTGACAATTTGTTCTCCAATAATTCTTCTTTTTGTGTCACCATGTGCCTCTATACCTTGTCTCTCACATTCCTTTGTGGCCCACAAGTCAACAGCTTTAAAGAGATCTATCTCATCGACGGATAGATTGTCTCTAATGATTACCTTTTAAGTAAGGACCTCTGAATTGTCGCAAATTCATCCGTTCTCAAAGCTTCCTTTGTCTTTTCGTCGATCAGATACTCTCATCACGTTACTTCAATTCAAAGCCACCTCATCGATGTATATGTAACGAAACAACTCCAAGAGACTCTCGTAGTTACAGTCAGGCAGTTCAATAGATTGTTTAGTCTCCGGCAACTCGCCGTAAAACATGGCTTCAAACACAGGGCTACAGATCGACAGTACCAACTTGAGATCAGGAATCACATGTTTACTTTCCCGTTCACCGTCCATCTTCCGAACAAGGAAGTTGACATCGCTGAAACGTTCGTTGTTGAAAAAAAACTTGGTTCTTTCTCTGATGGTTGGTCGGTTTGTTTGCAGATTTTCTTCGGTGAGAGACATGATAGCGGCTGGTGGCTTAGGAAACAGGGACAGTTCGCTTCAGTTTGCAAGGCAGAGGAGTTTTCAAATTGTCGGAACACGAAGAGAGGACGGCTTGTGGCAATTTTTCAAAATTTAGATATAAGTGGTCACATATTATTTTATTCTTCGGCTTTTTTTTTATTGATTGCGGTAACCTCACTTTGGTTGTGTGAGTTACTCGCCTCCTTCCAAGATTCAGCCCAGGGCAAAAGTGTACCTGACTTTTATCCTCGGAGGACAGTGGTCCAGAACGAAATCTCTTGAATCACCAATGACATTTTTCCCTTTTACTCCGTCCTTATTAATTATTTTTTGTGCCTTGCGGGAACATATTTTCACGATTTCCTATTCAAGACATAATAAAAAGTCACGGTAACAACACAAGATTAATGAAGTATAACCTACGAAGGTTAAATTGGACTGAGTTTCTTGTTTTAAGCATCACTCTTGCCTTACACTGCTTAACAGACTGAAAAGAAAATTTGTAATGACGATTATAACAATATTTGGCATAGTTATGGTAATGATCATGAAATCGCTAAGAGGCTTTTAGAAAGTTTTCTTAACATCTCAAAGGCAATGCACAGCATTTGGTTTTGTGATGTTGTGATTTCGGAAAGGTTCCTAAAATAGTGACAAAGAACACAGTGTGTGCCCAAATTGTAACAGCGGTCAAGAGCAACGTTAAATATGAACAGTTCATCGAAAATGTAACTCGTCGATGTTAGTTTTTCGGGGATCGCTCTTCTCTGAAGTGCAAGCCTTT